GCTAGAGGATTTCTAAGACAGGGGACGTGAAGGGAAGTCGGGCCTCTTCCAAGGCCTGGGGAAGGACGGGCCAGAGAGCCAGCTTAAAAATGATGGAAAAATGCAAGGTGGGACTCCTCCTGCCTCATTTGGTTTTGAAAATAAGGTATTTGTATTCCTAGAGCTAAGTCTTGAAACAAACTTAAATTTACATGAGGATTCCTTGTCAAATATTACTGTTTAAAATGGACTGTTTAAATTAAAGCTTGGATTTTTTTAAAATGGGGATTATTGAGCCAGAGACATGTAAATTCTTCAGCCCTTGCTAGGAAAAGGGGTCACTGCACTGAAATATCAAATACCCTCTTTTCAAGGACATTTATTCTTTCTTCTTTAATGATGAAGTTTCAATGATCAGTATAAGTGTGTCCTGCATGGATATTTCTTTTCTTTCTCTCCATGTAGGAGGAAAGCGAGAAGAACCCGTAAGAAATAAAACTTGGGGTGATCACCTGCGAGGAGGCAGTCACAGCCACAAAAGCAACCACCGCTTCAGGGCAGACCCCACAGCCAGCGGCTTTGAGGTGCTTCCCGCCAAGGCGCTCTGGGGCCATGGAACAGATGCTACGTGAGGGATTTTGTACCTTGATAGACTTGATGACAGTTCTTTTAAAAGGCGGGGGAAGGGGAGCTGGACAGGGGAGCATTGTAGCCCTGGCCTGGGCTTGAAGGTTTGGACTAAACAAAGTGGTGACTGGTAGAACAGCAAACACGTTCTGAGCTCTAACTACCTGGCAAGTTCTCTTCTGTGTCCTTTTTGTTTGTTTATATTTTTAACTTTTATTTGAAGTTCAAGGGTACACGTGTGGGTTTGTTATACAGGTAAACGTATGTCATGAGGGTTTGTTTACAGTTTATTTTGTGGTACTAAGCCTAGTACCCATTAATTACTTTTCCTAATCCTCTCCCTTCTTCCATTCTCCAGACCCAGTGTGTGATGTTCCCCTTGAGGGCTTCATGTGTTCTTATTATTTAGCTCCCACTTGTAAGTGAGAACATGCGGTATTTGGATTTCTGCTCCTGTGTTAGTTTGCTAAGCATAATGACCTCCAGCTCCATCTGTGTTCCTGCAGAGAAGATGATCTTGTACATTTTTATTGCTGCATCATATTCCATGGTGTATATGTGGCCTTAATTCACTGGTTCTTTAGGACAACCCTGGGACATACGTCCTGCTGTTACCCCTACATCCGCACATGAGAAAACTGGGTCATCCAGAGGTTAAGCAACATTTCTAAGGTCACAGAGCTAGTGCAAGGTAGGAATGAATGAGGAGCCCAGAGAACATTTGATTAAACACTAAGCTAAACACCTACAGGGAATGGAGAGGAAACGCATTAGATTTGTTATAGTAAAATCTATCTTTAAATAATACCATCTTTAGGCATATCATTGTGAACGTTATCTAGAAATATAAACACTAATATGTTTTAAAAATAATAAATAATATTCTTTTACGGAATGTGTTCTTAAATTAAATATCTTTTAGTTTAGATTTTGAAACAAGTGTTGTTTTGGGACTCTGTTCACCGACATTGTATTTAGAATTTTTACATCAATATTTGTAAGTGGTATTAGTCTGTAATTTAGTTTCACTGTGCTATGTTTATCAGGTTATATCCATTTTATAGTTTATAAAGCTAATTTGAATATTTTATTTATGTTCGTTGGCTTGCAGCAATTTGTGTATCATTTGAATTATTTAATCTTTGGGTGTTTGTTGGAATTCACCTGTGAAACTGTTTGGGGCTGGGCGCAGTGGCTCGTGCCTATAATCCCAGCACTTTGGGAGGCCGAGGCAGGCAGACTGCCTGAGGTCAAGAGTTCGAGACTAACCTGGTGAACATGGTGAAACCCCATCTCTACTATACAAAAAGAGCTGGGCATGGTGATGGGTGCCTGCAATCCCAGCTAGTCAGGAGGCTGAAGCAGGAGAATCGCTTGCACCCGGGAGGTGGAGGTTGCAGTGAGCCAAGATCGCACCACTGCGCTCTAGCCTGGGTGACAGAGCGAGACCCCATTTCAAAAGAAAGGAAAAAAAAGAAACTATTTGAACCTGGTACCATTTTTGTGTGTGTGGAATGGTAGAATCTTGATAATTTTTTCCATTTCTCTTATTAGAATTGGTCTGTTTAATTTTCTGTTTCTACTGGCATCAGTTTTGGGAACCTGCTTTTCCCTAGGAAATTATCCATTTCACATAGTTTCACCGTTTATGTTTACAGATGTGTGCAAATAGCCAATGAAAACGTTTTTCCTTTGTCAATCATTATTTACCCCTGGACACTTGTTATTATTATTATATTTGTGATTCTACCGTTTTTCTTTATTAGTGACCAGTGGTTTATTGGTTTATTAATTAGGCCTATATTTCTTCTGTTTTCATGTTAATTTTGACTCTGTTTTGTGTATCCCCTTTCCTTTAGTTTGTGTGTGAATTACTCTTTTGTTATGTTTCTAGGTTTTAAGTTGGCAATGTAATTCACTTGTGTTCAGTCGTTGCTTAAAATGAAGCATTTGAGACGGTTCGAGGCTGTGAGAGGAGGCTGGAGTCTGAAGTGAGATAGCGAGCATGAAATTCTTGGCCGATTTGACTAGGGGATTGTTAAGAGCAGGGATGTCCAACACACTGCACTATTAATTAGTTAAGATCATCTATTCGAAAGTTCAGCTGTGTAGTGACTCTCCTCTGAGACTCTCAAATCCTCAGTAAAGGTCTCCGCACATAATTGACTTGTGCGTTGGTATCTTGGAGAATGCAGGGAAAGGGTGTTGTCCATGGTTAGGATGTCAGAGGACAGACAGAAGAGAAGACATTTGAATGAAAGACCATCTTGGGGGAGGAACAATTCTGCAGGAAGAGGAGATGCGAGAGAGAAGAAATCGTGGGAACATAGTCTTTGGAAACTCACCAACATGTTGAGGACTGAGCACTGAACTTCGCCCGGCGATGGAGACAGAAGACGGAAGAAACGTTATTAAAATATTAAGCGGTACCAGGTATTGCCTTTCACAAGCCCCACTCTCTCCAAACCGGGAAGTATTGTTTTGGCTTCTATCTCCATGGCATTGAGATTAAGATTCTATAAATAATCTAATGCTGGCATTCTTGTGCCCACTTCCACATCATCTTACTGGAGGTCTGGGGTGCCCTGACGGCACGAGATTGTGGGTGGGACATTGCAATCTCTACTTGAGAAACTGGCCTTTATCAGTCCTTCTAAGTAGGTCACATGCAATCAGGAGTTTAACAGAAGCTCTTTGGTGATTGTAAAACTGAAAAGTACTGGTGTATTTTTCTCCTATTAATTATTCTAATCTTGGTTCAGTTACTAAACAAACAAAAAAGTAGTAAATGCTGCCCCTCTGAACCTCTGAAGAACTTCCCCACTTGTCTATATCCTGGCTTATCTTTCTCAGAAATCAGTTCCCTTTAATTCATTCTTTGCCTCTGGGTTGTAAGTGGCAATAACACGTGGGCACTCAGAGAGGCCGGCTACAGTTGCCTTCACAGACATCATGGCTTCGCTCCCTGCAGCCTCCTCCACAGAACAAGGAGGCATTAGTCATGGCAGGCGGTGGTCACCTGCAGAAGGCCGTTCCAGAGCCGCTGCCGGAGGGCGAGCACACCAGTTCTTGATTCCACCTCTCCTTGATGCTTCTGTCAATAAATCATTGCTCAGCATCTCTGATGTCCTGATACCTTGTAAGTCATTTGAGTTCTTTTTTTTTTTTTTTTTGATGGAGTCTCGCTCTGTCGCCCAGGCTGGAGTGCAGTGGCACGATCTCGGTTCACTGCAAGCTCCGCCTCCCGGGTTCACGCCGTTCTCCTGCCTCAGTCTCCCTAGTAGCTGGGACTACAGGCGCCGCCACCACGCCCGGGCTAGTTTTTTGTCATTTTTAGTAGAGATGGGGTTTCACCGTGTTAGGCAGGATGGTCTCAATCTCCTGACCTGGTGATCCGCCCGTCTTGGCCTCCCAAAGTGCTGGGATTACAGGCATGAGCCATCGCGCCCGGCTGTCATTTCAGTCCTTACCTTTACCTCTAAGACAAGCCATGGAATCTCTGTACATCTCTGAAAAAGGAGCATTGAAGCATAAGCATTGCTCAACACCCATTTTCCCCAGACCATAATTTCCACAAACACATTTTTATGTCTTCTCCGTCTCCTACATTACAAGTAAAACATACCCAACCCATCTCTAGACTAAGATCGAGGTCATCTCCTCCTCATTCGTGTGCCCAGGGAAATGTGCCTTCCTCGTATTCCAAGTTTCTTATCGTGCATGACTAGCGCCTGGGTAATACAGTCGGTGAGCACATATTATTTGACCACAAATCCATGCTAGTCTCAAAATTCTTCTTTCTTTTTACCTGAGGAGAATTTAGTTGCATTTTAGGAATGTCTGTCTGATAAAATTCAGAGTCCTGAATCCCAGGTCTAGCTCAAATATTGGTTTGAAGTGTGAGCCTGGCTGCCTTTAAAATGAGGAATAGAACTTTGAGCGCCTGCTCCTGGGTGCTAGGCTGCCCCTTCCTGTTGTATCCTCAGAAGAGCTCTCTGTGGTCCCTTTTTTAGGGACTCCAACCCCTTTTATGGGGGTTCCATCCACGTGACCTGGTTACCTCCCAAAGGCCTCACCACCTGTCACATCACATTGTGGGTTAGGATGTCAGCGTATGAATTTTAGAGGACACAAACATTCAGTCTATAACACATGGTATTCTATAACCTTTTAATACTTGTAGCTTTTCTTTTGTTTTGGTAGATTTCATTGGAGCTTCTACATTGACTATGATGATATCTGAAAACAAAGATATCCTTTCCAATTTGTATGCCCTTAATTTCCTTTTCTTGTATTCTTGCCCCAGTGTGATGCTGAATAGGAACGAGAGCCTCACTTCTGATCTTCGAGGAAAATCGTTTCGTCTTTCACCTTTAATAAAGTTTTCATTGTAGGTTTTGTTCTGGACGCCTTTTACTCCAAACGGGGAAGCAGGGTGGCTGGAGTACCTTTGCTGAGGCGTGTCGCACGGGGTTGACCTACTTTCCTCAGGAGGACGCCTTCTGTTCCCTCCTCTCCATGATCACAATGGTCAGTTGGTCACCCACCATAAGGTAAGTCAGCATGTACTTACCAAACACCCCTCAACCGTGATCACTGCGCTGAGAGTACACGCGGGGCGGGAGAGGGCTGCTGAGTGACAGTAGCACAGGCTGCCTGCCGAGCTCGTAGCCCAGAGGCTGAAATGAGATACGCTCACCAGGCATTTCAGTAATCCAAAGCAGACCACAGTTTACATTAAAATAAATGATTTACAGAAAAACGATATAGGAATTCAAAGAAGGACGTAATCCACAAGAAGTCATGACCCGCTTCCTAAACTCAGAAGAATGGGTGAACCTGGTCAGTCTTGTCTCAGGAAAGCCTCACATTTTCCAATCAGGAGTAACTGTGCTTCTCTTAACAGAGGAAGGTGCTGACTGAAGATCAGGGAGTGAGCGGCATTGTCGGGAGGGCCACAGAAATGCCTGGAGAAGACGGACCACAGCACAGTCCGCACCAAACCCAACCCGCTCAACCTTCCAGAATATTCCCCATCCTACCATGCCTCGCCCCTCCCTCCCCACATTTCTCAAAGGCCTCTGCCGGCGTGCAGTGTGTGAACCTTTGCCCAGCGTTTGTTGGCAACATTGCAGCGTTTACAGACTCACCCGTCCGGGCCATCTGCTCAGAGACACTGCCTGGTTTAGTGTGAACAGCTGTTAGAGAAGGATGAAGACAGCACCCTCTGCTTCCAGTGTTTCTGTCACTCATGTCTTTGCCCTGGACCCTGAGTTCTGGGGAGACGCACCCACCTGGCATGAGAATCACACAGAACTTTCTGCCAGGGACGAAGCCTCACGCTGGAAGCAGACTGTGGTCCTCATGAGGTTCTCCTTCGCAAGGGACCCCAGATGTGCAATTTTGTTGTCTACAAACTGGGAATGTAAGTGTTTGCCCTGAGGTGTTTTTCAGAGAACTACTTGAAATAATGAATATATCTGCACTTTTGTATTATACAATGTGACTGTAAACGTGAGAGTGTCTTTAAGTCGTATACTTCAGACTGCAGCGGGCTGGTTATAGGCTAAACATCTTTGTCATTACTGGGTAATTAATGCCAATTGTTCCCTAAAGTGGTCCTATTAATTTACACTTCCACCAGCAGCAGATGCTCCTGACAGCGCTGGATGGCTGAGACGCTTGCTTCTGCTCGGCTCACGTCTTGTATTAGGACGATACATCCGCCCTTTGTTACGTGACCTTGTGATCTCCGCCTCTGGAGCAGGCACAGCACATGTCTGCACCCGGTTGATGCTGGGTTTGAACCGTGGAGTGGCAGCAGGCGTCTTGTGGGCGAGAGCCTTCAATCTGCTTGCCTGGCTCGGTTTAGCCAGTGTGCTCTGCTGGTCCCCCGAGAAGCACAACGATGCTGCAACTGCCCCTTCGGCCTGGGGGCAGAACGGACCCGTGAGGTTAGCCTGGAGTCCAGGCTAGCTCAGCCCAGACGAGTTAAATCATAATCGGCTTGCAAACTGTTGAGAGTGAATATAAATACTGGAAACAATTGTGATTTTGAGATACAGGGTCTGCCTGCATCCTTAGTTTCACTTTCCACAGCTTCAGTTACTGTGGTATGAAAATATTAAGGTGTTTTGAGAGAGAGAGAGAGAGAGTCCACACTCACATGATTTGTATTACATTTTATTGTTACAGTTGTTTAATTGTTCTCTTATATTATCAGTTGTTGTTGATCTCTAACTGTGCCTAATTTATAAATTAAACTTTATCATAGACGTGTGTGTGTACAGGAAAAAAACAGTCTACAGAGAGCACAGTACTACCTGCAGCTTCAGGCAGCCCACAGGGGTTTTGGAACACATCACCTATAAATAAGGGGGCGGAAGATGCTAATGTAATTTGCTATACATCAAAAACTGACAAAAAATTCTGTTAACATTAGAGAAATAAACTATCATAGTGTCATAACATGGAACACTGGAAATTGGTGAAAAATAAATGAAATATAGTTACATGTGTCTGCATGAACAAATACCCCAAACACAATATTATATACAAAAGCAAGTTTTAGTGTAATAGCATTCACAAAAAGTTTTACAATAAAAACAGAACTGATATGTGGTAAAACAATGTTATAAAATGACCAGTGCTAGTTACCTTGGGAAAATGAATCATTCAGGGATTTCGGCCTGCTGACAATGTTTTGTTTTCGAAGCTGTGTGGTGTGCCTGTGTCATGTTATTATTCTCGTGCATTTTATAGTCTTCGATATTACACACTGAATTTTAAAATATAAGAATGTAAGTTTTTGAGATAAGTTTTATGCCTATGAAATGCTATCCAAATGTTAATCGTACATGTTATTTCTGAGTCTTGGTCATGTAGGCATGTGTTGGTAGGAAGTGTGATGTTTTTCATTCTGCCAAGATTGTATTTTGGTCCACACGCATGCTGGTGCTGAGAACTTCAGATGGATGGGGTCGGAACTCACTCAGGAGGTTGGTTCTTTACCACTGGAAGTCCTCATGAGGTCTTCTCCCGGAGATCAAAATTCATGAAACATTTTCTGGGTTACCTCTTCTCCCTCGTCCCACCTGAAGGTGCATCGGACACTGTTGTCAGTAGAATAAGTACGTTCTCTACTGGCTGGACTCACCCTGCAAACAGCTGGTGCGAGATGATAAAACTGAGACTGTTCTTGTCTCGGATTTGTTGAGACCTCTCACGTTTTTCATTCTCTCATCTGTTTGGTCTGGGAAGTACAGGAATTAAAACTTATATTTTTTGCACCTTATTGAACTGTTTTAGGTTTAATCTACTTTTCCTTCTCTGGATCCTTCATACAGAAGCTTAGATAGTTCATTTTAGACCATTTTCTGTTTTTCAGTCAGCATATAAACGTCTATCTTAGCAATACTTCAGCTGCACACGACAAGTCGTGAAGTGTCATGTTATTATTTTCATACAGTTCAAAATGTTCTCTAATTTCCCCTGATTTGTCCTTCAACTCACAGGTTATTTATAAGGATGTTATTGAAGTTCCAAGTAATTGGTGATTTTTGAAGTATATTGTTGTTGGTTTTTAACCTAATTCTACTGTGCTCAGAGAACATACTCCACAAGACGTTGGTGCTATTAAATGTATTAAAACTTATTTCAAAACCAACACATAGCCTTTGCTTTTTGTTTTTTGTTTTTGTTTTTGTTTTTTTTTGAGACAGAGTTTTGCTCTTGTCGCCCAGACTGGAGTGTAATGGTGCGATCTCAGCTCACTGCAATCTCTGCTTCCCAGATTCAAGCGATTCTCCTGCCTCAGTCTCCCAAGTAGCTGGGATTACAGGCACCTGCCAGCTAATTTTTTTATATTTTTAGTAGAGACAGGGTTTCACCATGTTGGCCAGGTTGGTCTCGAACTCCTGACCTCAGGTTATCTGCCTGCCACGGCCTCCCAAAGTGCCGGGATTACAAGTGTGAGCCACCACGCCCAGCCCACGTAGTCTTTCTTGGTGAAGGTTTACACGTATTTGAAAATAAAATGCATCCTGTACTTGCAGGACAGAGTGGTCTATCAATGTTGATTAGGTCATGTTGTTCAATAGACTTGCTGAATTCTTCAATACCCCTATGGATTCTCCGTCTAATGTTCTACCAATTACTGGGAAAGGGGTACTTCAATCTCCAAACACAATTGTAAATTTGTCTCTCTCTCCTTCCACTTTGTCAAATTTTGCCTCGTGTATTTTGAATCTCTGTTACTTGGTTGCACACACATTTAGAATCGTTATGTCTCCTTGATTTATTTATCCCTTTATTATTCTAAAATGTTTCTGGGCCCTGATGTAATCCTTTTCTCTTTCTAGCTTTTCTGGTGTTGTCACTGCCACTCAGAGCTCTCGTGTGTAATGTTCCCATGGTATACCATTTTCTGCTCACTGACTTTTAACATTTCTATGTGTTTATGTTTAATATGATTTTCTTAAAGACACCCCATACTAGCGTCTTGGTTTCTCTTTATAATCAATTCTGATAAACATTTTTTATGGAAATATTTAGACTATTTTGATCTAATGTTATTAATATTTTTCAGTCTTAAAACCATTGTCTAGCTCTATTTCTTTTTATTCTTTGTTTTATTTTTATTATAAAAAGTAAATATCCATTGAGTATTTAATATTTGTTAATAATTCCACTGTATTTCACTGTTGGCTTATTAGCTACATCATCTTGCTGTAATTATTTAAAAGTACTTTGGGAATTACATGTGTACCTGTGCTTTTCTTTGTGCAAAGTTTTTTTTTATTACTAATTCACTACCTCCTTGTTATAGAAATAATCCAATTTTCTATTTCTTTTGATGTCGTTTTGACAGTTTATCACTTTCTAGAAATCTTTTCCATCTAAGTTATTTACTTCGTTGCACACAATTTTTTATGGTATTTATCATTCATAGAGAAGTCTGTAAGGTTGGGATTGACTGTCCCCTATTTTGTTAATGATTTTAATTATTTGAGTCTTCTTCCTTATTTTCTTAATCTGTTTAGCTAAAGATTTGCCAATTTTTGTTTATCTTTTTCAGGAAGTAACTCTGGTTTCATTAATGTTCTGTAGTGTTTCTCTATTCTCTAGTTCATTTATTTGCCATCTAAACTTCACTATTTACTTCTGTTTTCTTTTTCTTTTTTTTGTTGTTAACTAATGTATTAAGGTATATGGTTAGGTTATTGGTTTGAGATAATTCTTGTTTTTCAAATAGAATAGATTAACAGCTATTAATTTCTATCTAAACATTGCTCCAGCTGTACTCCATAAGTTCTATTACGTTGCATATTCATTTTTATTCACCTCAAACTGTTTTCTAATTTTTCTTGTGATTTTTTTCTTTGATCCATTGGTTGTTTAAGACTGTGTTGTTTAATTTCCACAAATTTGCAAATATTTGTTTTTCTTCTGTTATTGAATTCTAGCTTTATTTCATGATTGTCAGAGAAGATACTTAGCATGATTTTACTATTTGTAAAATTGTTGAGGCTTGCTTTGTAGCACACCATTTGGTCCACTGTAGAGAATATTCCAACTGCACTGGAGAAGAACAGGTGGTCTACCGGGTAGAATGTTCCATACATGTCTGTTAGGGCCAGTTGGTTTATGATCAATATTTCTTTATTGATCTTGTTGAGTTTTTCCACACATTTTGAAAGCTGAGTATTGACGCTCACAGCTACTGTTGTTGAGTTGTCTATATCTCCTTTTCTCACCAGTTTTTGATTCATGTATTTTGGCATTCTGTTATTACGTGTATATGTTTAAGACGGTTATGTCTACCTGGTGATTAACTCTTTTATCATTATAAAATACCTTGTCTTTCCCTAAGAATTTTTGTGTCAGATTCTATTTTGTCTGATATTAGTATAACCATTCCAGCTCCTTTTGATGACTATTTGCATGCTATATCTTTCGCTTTTAATCTTTGGGTGTCATTGACTCTAAAGTATTCAACTTGTAGACACAAGATAGTTGAGTCTTTTTTTCATTTATTCTGCCAATTTTTGCCTGTTTATTAATGTATTTAGTCTATCTATATTCAAAGTATACATTTAATATTCACCCCCACAAGACATTGTTAGTGTTTTGGCTTTAAATATTGACATATATTTAAACATTTTAAAATGAGAAGCATACTTTCATAATGTAAGCCATGATTTCAGGGACTTTTTTGGTTTTTTTTTCTGTAGTTACCCTGGTTCTACCTAATTAACTTTATTTACCTTTACTATAGTGTAGCCTTGCTGGCAACATATTTCTTCAACTTTAATGCATTTGAAAATTGTATTATTTACCTTCTTAGGGATATTTTACTGGATAGAGAATTTCAGAAGTATGTGTATGTTTCTTTTAACTCTTTTATTATGTTGTCCCATTGTATTTTGCCTTAACCTAGTTTCTAACCACATAGCTATAGCCATTCTTGTGTTCGTTCTGTTGTAAGTAATATGATTTTATTTCTTGATATTTTAAAGATTTCTCTTTATCATTGGTTTATTATGTAACTTGCTTCGATTTGGTCTTTTGGTTTGTTTCTTTCATTTTGTTTTTCTGCTTGGAATTCTTGGTTGTGTAGTCCAATTGTTTTTATCAAATTTTAAACACTCTCTGTGGTTATTTCTTCCTATATTTTGTTTTCGACCTCCTCTTATTTGGGTTTCCTAATATGTACACACGAGACCTTTTGTACTGTTTCCTAAATCCCTGTCATTCTGCTGTTTTTCCTACTCTTTTAATTTTCCTCGCAATTTATTTGGGATAGTTTATATTGTTACAAGTTTAAGTTTACAATCTTTTCTTCTGCGCTGGTTAATCTGCAGTTATTCCCATACAGCAGAATTTTTGTCTCTGTCTCTAGATGCTCCACGTGGTTCATTTTTATGTTTTGCTTTTCCCTTATAATATTGATGTTTGCCTTTAAACTGTTGCACATATTCAGTGTGTGTATTGCAGCCGTTTTCCTATCTTTGTCTGCTAATTTCATCATGCCCGTCTCATTTCTGAGTCTTTCTGTTGACTGAATTTTCCTTTGGTCGCGGATCCCATGTGCTGTTTTTCGCCTGACCACTTGTTTTTATTGGTTGAGCATTTTGTTTTATTCCTGGAAACAGTGGTGGACTTAGTTCTTGTAAACTTAGGTTACTGGTTCATCAGTTTTATTTCTCAAACTGATGAATGTGTGTACACCTGTCTTTAAAATGTCCAGAATGCATTTCAGGGAGGCCTTGCTCTTCTGAATGTCACCTGTGTTCAGTAAGTCCCTTCACTGTGGCTAACAGGCCCTTGAACCTTCCTCAGTCCTCTGTAAGCTGTGGGCGTTTTAGAGCTAATACATTTTCCTTCCTCAGAAGTTAGTTTTTGTTTAGACTCTTGATGTTTCTCCCTGTGGGTATGCAGATTGGCGTATCCAAATACAACAGGGGAAGCTACACGGATTTCTTGGCGTTGCTTCTTCCGTACTCTGCTCTACAAATTCTGGTTACTCTGGTCTCTCAAAACTCCGATCTCCACCCCCTCAGCACAGCGATTCTCCTGGGCTGTTCGGCTTTGTCTTCTGCTGTGGCCCTAAAATCACCTCCAGATATAAAGCCCCAGTACACATAGTGCTCACGTCCTATGCTTTCTTGCCTTGGGGATTAGTCACCCATTGCTTGCTGTCTAGTGTATAAAATTTATTGTTTTATACATTTCATGCAGTTCTGTAGCTATTTATGATGAGATTAACTTTGAAGTCTACAAGACACTTTTAAATAAAGGACATTGAACTCCAACTCAAAACCCATGTGTTCAGTCTCTAGCTATCCATAATCACAGATCTATTTCTAAAATATGGGTTTCTAAACATCAACATCCCAGTTGTGGACTTATGTGTCCCATCCTCAGGAGGCCTTTTCTGGTATCATAGTCTGGGCCTGCCTCTCTGCCGTATACTTTCTTACACTCTGGATCTCATGTTTGCTGTCTGTATCCCGCTTGTACTAACGTGCTGGGCGTCTGTCTCCCTAAGAGACTGTGAGCTCTGAGAGAGCAGAAGATGTTGTATCAGTCTGTGCCCCGCTCTCCCTGCAGAGCCCAAAACATGGCCTTGTGCTTAGACTTGGAACAAATATTTATGAAATACATATGTATACATAAGAAATAAATGTATTATCAATTAATATTACCATTTTAGTAGCCTTGGAAAATATCTCATGAAACTTTTGTGTCAGAGTTTCCCTTATCTGGAAATCAAAGAGATAAGCGAATATCATTAAGGTTCTTTATACTCTAAAATTGTTTCTCTGATTTTCCTTGATTTTCACAATTATCTGCTAAGAAAGAAAGATAATCATTTTAATTTTCAGATTGTAAGTGAGAAAAACATTTTTCAAAAAGATTAAGCAATCGGTTTAAGATCGCATAGCTAACTAGTAAAAAGGCTTGGGCTCAAAATTGTTTGGCTTTTCACTTTATTCTGAGAAATACGTTATTATATGGAGAAATCCCTTGTACTGTAGCTTAACTCCTCCTTTAAAAAAGGAAAACAAGCACACACAAAAAATCTGTGTGTTTATATCCTGCTTCTTCAAGAGATGGGGAGCTTCTTGAAGGTCAGAGCTGTAAACCGTATATTTTCGTGATTTCTCCAAAGCCTCAAATGTGTTCTACACAGTGCAGTAAATAATTT